GCTTCGGCATGCATAAATACTTAAAGCATAACAGAATCCTACTTTATTTACTTTTGGAAGTACGAACGAGGAGAGAGGTATGTCGATGTGTACTATCGAAAAATGATACTACGGTACAGTATCGCATTGGTGATGTTTGCGGTGATGTTTGCTGTATCGCATCGGTGAACTTTCTGTCGAATAGACTCGCTGGCACCCAAACTTTTACTCGTACTGCAAGTTAAAACCTTCCAGTACTATAACTCTAGCACATTTTAGTTCATATTACAGCTCTAATACGTTTATTAACAGTACAATATTGTAGCAGAGAATTCCAGCTTCCATGATCAAATTCTGATATAAGTTGGATCGTGATCACGCCATATGACGCACTGCATCTCCTGTAGTCACAATTGACAACAACATCTGGTGTGACGAAATGGTCCGAATGTGCGGCATTGTGGTATTCACACATAGAATGTTGGTGGAATGTTAGTTGTGAATTGATCTGGGAGCTGGTGGCCGTCTGTGGCGGTCACGAATGATGCTGTCCCAAGCATACACGATGGAATAGGATGCGAACACGGGGGTGTTTTTCACGCTCAGAGTTGAGCTGCTGCTCAAGCAAGGGATTAATGTATTGTGCTCCAGCGAGCTCGTTTAGAATATGGAGTGACGGACAAGCAATCCAATGCAGGTGGGTATACTCATGCACACACTTTTGCATCAAAGTACGTATCCCCTGTCGACCTGCTCGTCCCATGTACTTGCGCACATGTCGTTGCCGCCAGAACAGACGAGCGTGAATGCTATGAATACTGTGCACAGCGCTCACTCACTACAGTCTGTAGTAACCTTATCTTATCCAATACATTCACTTGATAGCGTCACCGAAAACATTTGAATGCAAAGCGCCGCCAATACGTCCCAGTCGGACCGACACTCAACAATCATGTCGAGAAACCAACTGTATCGACATCGACGTCAAACTAAACTTTCGTACACTGAATGTCGCGCGCCCGTAAAACAATCCAAGTACTAGAAGGATGTACGTATTCCTCACCCCGCCCTGTCGCTTTGCGTCGCATCCCCGTCACGTGCACTTTTGAAGCTGCCGAGTGGATGACGCCACAGGGCTACTTGTCGCTGCTGCTGCCTCTCGTGGCGACGGCAACCGAGTGTCCGTACGAGAGCTACGACGGTGCCATCCTCGTGGCCGACGCCACCTACTGCTCAACGGCGGCGCCAGTCTGCGCTGTCGATAAGGCGTGCCGCCGTTTGCTAAGCCACAACATTTCCAGCGACCAAGTAAAATATTCCGGCTACACTGCGGTCGGTAACCTCACGGCGTATCCGCACGACGAGCTGTACGATCTAGGAGGCACTACCATGGCTTCTAATCGCACGGGGTTCCTAGGTACATTGGCAATATAACGCACGTGAACGTCGAAGACATGGAGCTGCCTTCGACGCTTCGCACACTGTACCTCCATTTGTGACGACGGGAACGCTAATTGTTGCCGTCGTAGGAGCTTTGACAACGTCAGTACGATAAGCCTCGACGATCTCTATGGCGACGTCATTGCCAACATCACTGAGCTGTGCGGCATTCCGTACTTGGATCCACCCTGATTCTGATGGATGGGTTGACGTAGGGAGTTTGTGTCGTGTGGTCTTGGCGTTATTCCGTGGCTCTTTGAGTGGCCGCCGCGTCTCGAAACGCTGTATGCTCGTGCTGGATACGAAACGACTTGAACTTATGCGTGTTGCCCATGATGTAGCACCTTGCTCGACAATGAGCTGCAGACGATCCCCAAAGCACTGCCGCCCACGTTGCGCGAACTGTTGTTTTACATTCCACACACCTTTCTTCAATGTGACGATAGGGCCATCCAAGACAATGCTCTTACGGACCTCGTGTACCTTCCCGACGGCTTGACATTCTTGTACAGCCGCCCCTCTTATGCTTGCAACCCCCATCACCGAGGCTTAGGAATCTGTACGACAACAGCCTGGAGAACATCACGGACAAAAATTGGACGCAGCTCACGTTTTTGTACAGTACCTTTCTGTCGCGAATTCCATTTCACAGACAATGTGACTAGGCGACTTGGAGACAACCCAATCAAAACGATTACCAACGTCCATCTCTCCAAGCAACTGCGCTTCTTGTACGTTACGACAGTTCCTCGGTCGTTTAATGGCGCGTCTACTAGCGACTGCGAAGGGTGCCCTATCACAAACATGGTCCTGACGCCAGAAACGTTCGAAGCGCTCGATGTCCTGAGTGTCCACAACGGTGACCAAACGAACTTTGAAGGGTTTGTCATCACGCGAGACATCGAGTCGGACGGAAACGCGTGCAGTGCGATTGGCGGCACCATACGTGACCTCTGGCAGCACAAATCGAACGTCACTGTCCGTGTTTGCGTCACATTGCCGCACTCTGTCGAATGTACACACGCCATCCATGTTCTTCTCCACCCTAACCCTGAGTCTAGACAAATGGACCATTCTAGCCGCGTCCCTTGGCTGCCTTGCATTGCTCCTCTTTGGCGCTTGCTTTGCCGTACGTCGCCTCAAAGCCTCAACAAGAAACACCAATTCCTCACGTCGCGACACGACGACAGCCATGACTTATGCTACCGCAGACGATTCCGACGGCCTTCTCGACGTCTCCCGCCTGCGCCAGCACCGCCTCGAGCTCTCCGAGCTCCGCGTCACAAGCGCCAAGCCTCTCGCATC